TGAGACGTACCGACTCGCCTAACAAGCCACCATGATGGATTGGTTGCGTTATTTCCTCGAAGTTCAAAGGACACTTAAGAGGCGGCAGCTGAGGCGTGTAGCTGCCACCCAAAAAACGGTGGTGAGTTCGGCATCAAGTTGTTTCTTCACGTTTTTATTTCTCACCCGCTAACACCAACTTCTTTCAACACCAAGCTTATGATCCTTCTTTGCAGCGCATTGTCGTAAAAGCGCCCTCTTTCTGGCTCTCGTTGTTACACCCCTCGCGTCGACTGACAAATTGCTCTTCTAAGAGGTCCCTTTGAGCAACATTTCGGCTTGAATAAACCAAGAACAGTTGTCGATGACTGTACGCCCTTAAATCATAGCCTAATTTGCTTCACAGTCCCTTTTTTCAAGCATTCACTATGTCAGCCAAGAGGTGGAGCAGACGATGAAACCACAGTACTCCGTGTCAAGGATGTTGAAGAGAGTCGACCAGGGCGTGCTGTCATTTCGATCATCATCACTGTGTCAATTGAGAGTTGCTGCCCGCGTGCATGTACCGTATCAGTGACTACAGTGATTCAGCAATAAATCACCATAACATCGCGATACGCGCCATGATTTGGCCCACTCCAACAGAAGTCAGAAGGTCCTGGTCGACGATGACGGTGAACGAATTCACGGAGCTCACAAAACACAGGAAAATCACGAACCATGGTACTTTTTGTCGTTGTAATTGTTCTATTTGAAATGGATGCTCGTTTTTCCTGTTGCGCTGACACTAACACGCGCTGACAGTCCCGACTAATCACATCGTATCGCCCGGTGAGAAATATTTCCGAAATTGGATCAACAGACCCTCCTGTGGGAACTAGACACAAGTGGGTGATTTCACGCTATTCAAATTCAAAATAGACTCCCGATTTTCCTTACCTCTCCACTACCCAACCGGTTTATGCGTCTGTAGAGATTTCCCAGGTAGGTTCGTATTTATTTAAAACCTTGGTTGAAAAAGAGCGCAGTGGGAATCAAGTTTTCCGAGCTCATGCCTTCGAAGCCCTTTCAAGAGAAAGTAAAGGTCTGAAAGGGGCCAATTTCAAATCTGGTGTAAAAACGGGTTCGACGAAATTATCAACCACCCGACTGTTGAAGAGGCTTAATGGGTGAAAACACCTCAGGGGGTTTATAAGTGGAATCGGTACAACACGACGGTCCATTCTGCCACTACATGAGATCACAACCGGAGCGACTGTCCTGTATACTGCTGAACCCAGGCATCAGCCATTCATCCAACTAGTCAAAAGAGATTAGGTAGCATTGAGAGCTGCCGACGTTTTAGCGGCCTTTCCGCATTTTTGCCGTTACTGTTGAATAAGGAAGACTGGTTTTGCCCATGACGAATGGTCCACATTTAAGTCCGCGTCTAAACAGACCAAAAAACCGCTGGACGGCTAAACGGCGCCCTGAGGAGCGTTAGAGGCCATGCATGGAGGTAAAGGAAGCTCGTCAGAGCGACAAATAAGCATATCGAAGTGGGTGAGGATCAAGCACAGCTGTAGAACCTGCTAAACACTGTCAAGTTATGCAAAACAGAGTTGCAAAGGCTGAGTTGTGAACATAACTTCCGCCTCAGGGGGACACGAACTTGCAACTCTATTTGAGACCCGCCTGGGGCGCAAGTTTCATTCATAACCCAGCATTCGTGTGAATCATTCTTACACGAACTGTGGTCTTAAAAGAGCAGTTAACAACTAAGGTGAAACTCCAGTTTGGGGGAGGGGGAACTCCACTGTGCTGTAGAACATTATGGATAAGGATCAGGTTTTATGGCATCGTAATCGACTTTATTGGTCTGAAATTACATTTTGTATAAGTGAATGGTGTTAAAATTGTGGAAGTAGCCGGGGTGCTTTTCAAAATTTGCTTTTATGGTCCAAGGAAAGGTCCTGAACGGATCCGTTAAATTCATCTTTCCTAGGCGCAAGAGTGTAGAAGCCCAGAGTGTGTTCGAATAAAATTGTCAATGACAATTCCTAGGATTGTGCGTGGAAGTCATGCGCATACACGGTCCTTATTAAAGTGCAACTTTGCGAGTAAGTCATATTTACCCATTATCTTATCCATGGGGTTCAATTCCAAAGGAGTGCCGGAGTGCTCTCTAGCACTACGAATAAGAGACAACAGGGAAAGCCCCCCCCCCCAAGTTGGAGTTTCACCACAGACTCCAAGGAAAATGGAGCATAGTGAATATTCTTGGATTTTGAATTTGATATGGTTATAGAGCATTCCAGAGTTAGGCACCTTGTAGCAAATTCTGTGTGGCGGCCGCCACTACATCATTTGATTCATTTCGAAAAAGAATCATAGCGAATGTTCGCATGTGAAAAAACCTCCCTGAAGATGAAAATCGTATGTGGATTAAAATGAGTGAAAGTTGCCGCCATTAAATTGTAACTGAACAGAACTACGAACGCGAAAACCCGGCACGAAAACACATGTAGCCACCTGCAGCGGATCGCCTCACAGCTGGCGTGAAGTGAACAGGCGACGGCTCTCATTACTGGTTCAAGTCTCGCTGCTTAATCGACCTGTCCTAGTCACAAATTTGGGGTTATCTGGGATAGTTCTTACCCCATCAAATATTCCATGTGTATCAATATACGATGCATCTATACGATAGAACCGTGCGTTTCTCCTTTTCGGGGTATCTTTTGCGCGTTTCTTTACGCTCCACTGAACAGCTGATATAATCACGATTTAATCAAATTATGATGCGCTCGGCCGATACGACGGTTGTCTAAATGTTTGCGTCGACGTATGTTCATGATTTGTTTAGTAATGTAATGAAAGTAATAGTACTGTATCAAATTGGGAGGGCAGGAAGGGAGCCTAAAATAGCGCTTTTGGGCGTGAAACATTTGAAGCGGTGTCGTAGTCCAGAACCCTGTCCACTTTGTTTGGTTCTTCACGCTGACAGCGAAAAAGGAGAAGTGAAAATCATGGTGAAATGAGGTGCAGTAATCATTGCACTGAAGGGTTTTAGTTTTTTTTGGGTGGAACTGGAATCGATTTTTCAATGAAACTTCCTACCCATTCTCATAAAAATTCAACCTTCCTATTCACTCTCAAAAAAAAATTCAAGGGAGCCCATCCAGAAGACTCACCAGAAGTCCTCGAAGGCCCATTAGCCCATCAGCATGGAAACAAATTAGCTCGAGTTAACCCACCAAGCTACAGCTTGTGGCTTAGGGATCAGATGGGAAAGAAGAAAAAGTCGATACTCGTTCAGATATTTGACTGATTAATTACTCACTAACTGGTTTTTGTAGCCTATCGTCATCTATGAAAGTTCTGCTTTAGGCTTTGCGTAGCAACCCATGTCAGAAGGTTCAAGTATCGTTTGAACTCTGGTATGTATCAAAAAAGCTACAAGTTCCAAGAATGGAGCGGTTCATAAAGTTCACCTGATAGGCTCAAGGAAAGGCTGCGGTTTCACACTTATATCCACTCCCGTGTTGGCAGGCTGGCAAAGCTTGGACGATATCCGGTAAAGCTAGCGCTACAGCGGCCCTGATCCTACCAATGCAGCTTTCGCCAATCCGCGATCATAGTCGAGCTCAGGGTCAACCCTACGTTGCTACAAGTAGCAACAGGGGTTGACCCTGAGCTGGACTAGCTGTTGAAGACTAGTCGTAGTTTGCTGAAGTTTGTTGTGGTGGGGGGGGGGGGATTAGTACATTATGGGGAGCGCGAAATCACATGTGATGAGGTGCTCGAGCGCCGCGCGAAGAAAATTTGCGGGAAATATAAGTGGAAAGAGGGAAAAATTGGTTGTGAAAATGAGAGGATATCAGGCCGGAATTTTTTATTACGTGGTAGTTGTATACCCCCCCCCGCTCGACGGTGTTTTTTGAGGGAAAAAGTGGCTGTGAAGAGGGGGTCGTATGAAATCGTGGAAGGGGGTCGTAAAAATTTTGCAAAAAGTATCAACGATAGAACCGATCCTGTCGAGCTCCCCGTGCAGCGTACACCACTGAAGGTTCAGTCATTGTATTTCTGGAGTTCCAAAGCCCAGCGATGGAAGTTGTGGGTTTGTAGTAAAGTTGATAATCAAATGATTTGGTTGTAACATTCATGGCGATGAACGAGCGGATACTGTAACGTTTGGTTCATTCGATCAATCTCTATCGATCAACACTGTGAAAACAGAACAGGCCGATCTCTTCGAGGGGAGGGTAGCACTGCATTGAGGAGCTCCTCGTGTAGGCGGCATAGCTATCAGCAGTAGAAGATCTTGTCTGGACAACAGAATGACAGTGAAGTGTTAGCGGCTCAGGTCTATTACAGAGTGGCGGTTGCGTCATTCAAGTGCTGTTGCGTGAATGGGCACCCGATTATGAGACTGATACTACTTGCACAACACGGCCATGGACAGCACCCAACACGGTACACAATAGTACTTGAGGGAGATTCCAAGATTTCGCAAAGGGTCAGGGAACAATCAATCCGCAAAAGCACGTCGATGAGACGAGACACAGCGGCCGCTTTTTCTCACAGTAGTAGCTGGTTAATCCCCTTATCACCACCACCTTTGTGATAATCGGTCGCATCGGTGGAAGCCCCTTTCAAGGTTTGTTGACTGATCGCTAGTGTTGACCCGTTTGATGTCGCCGAAAAGTGCATACAACGCGGTTATTTCTGTGAATTAGTTCATTCGATAAATGAAGTTTGCTCTACACAACAAAATGAACAGGAATGAAAACCGGTCAAGCCACAAATTTTGTAAACATGAATAAATAAAAACTCAACGACAAAAGCAGTACAGTGATGGAAAGCATGAGGAAACGCACTCAATTTTTGGTCTTCGGGAAGAAATCTGAGTGATAAGCTCGAAAAATGGAAATCAGATCAGTGAAAATACTCGTCATCATGGTGAACATGGGAAATTCTCTTCACTATTGCACTAATAAGACAGAAATCCCAGAGTGAAATGGTGAACTGCGACAGAGCGAGGGTCAATCAACTTTGTGCAAGGTGTGTACACATTCGGACGCTGTGGACGTCAGAGGGGACTGCGCCGCTAGGGCCGCCAACAGCTTTTGATGGTCGATATTCGATGAAATTCCGGGGTAGAAATACGGTAACCTAGGTGGCACGTTGGGCATCATCGTTGGCACCATGGCCATCGGATGACGGGGCAGTGATGACGGCAGCTGTGGTGCAGTTGGTGGAAGAGGTGGAAGGATCGACGGCATCGGGAGCGGCAATCGTGAAGGCACCATTGGTCCGATCGAGGACAGAAATGGTGGAAAACCGATCGGCGACATGTCCTGCGGCTCAGGTTGTCGCTTGAACCTTAAATGAATGGTGTTTGTGCTGAGTGGGGGGTCTCGTTGAGCGAAAAACACCTGTTTAGTCAACATCACCACGTTTGTGTGAAGCGTATTATTCGTTGTGTGTTGTTGGCGAAAAAGTGAATTCAAGACCGGATTATTGTCATCGATAAAGAGGCAACACAATCGAATAATGCGCTCGCAGCCTATGGCTGTATGTGCGGCTGCCCGGTCTACCGTAGCAACACGCAAAGCCTACAGGAGAAAACCAAAAGTTCAAACCTTTTTCGCCGTCGCAGGAAGGAGCCATTGTCGAACATATCTTGGGCTTTTGGATCCAACGACCAGTAGTTGCCTTTTCCAGGATTGCCAGGCTCACGAGGAATTTTCACAAAGCAGTCGTTCAGGCTCAAATTGTGGCGAATCGAGTTCTGCCATGCAGGGAATTTGTCTCTGAAATGAGCATTCGATAGCAAACTTCGGAAAATCTCGGACCCAAGTCGGGTATCAGAACGAATGAGTTTCTTTGCTCCCCAGGGGAAAGGCAACTAAAAGGTCCAGGCAACTACTACAGTGATGGGATATTTATAAACTCGGTCACTCAGCTATTTAAAGAAGATTCGAAATAGAGAGAATTAAAAGGTTTTCGCAATTCTTGAAGTTTTGAGAATCTTAAGGAAAAGGAAGGTGGTGCTCTAATACCGCAGAGAAGCCGATGCCACAAAAACCCAAAAGTCCGACGAACCTGTAGTATTGAAATCGCGACATAATGAAGTCGCAGATCTGCGATAACGTCAACTTCTTGTCTTCGGCATTTAAAATGGCCATAGCAATAAGTGCTATGTAGGAATAGGCAGGTTTTGTCGCTCCAGATTTCGAGCGATGGGAAGACATACCGGAAGGACTGAAATGACAGCATGAAGTCCAAGTCAAATTCAATCAAAACTAATTTGCACCAACCTAACGGATTCCAACTCATGGTGAGAGTTCTCCTCGGATTGTTCGGGTGAAGCTGATGTCTCCTTTTCCTTTGAACTGCCCTCCTTGGCTTCGTACTGTGAACACTCAGGACTCGCCGTGCTTCGTGGCACACGACAGCTCAAATCTTCTGGGCTGCAGCTTGTGGATGGAACTGGACTTTTCGCTGAGCAACTCGTGGTTACATTTAGGGCGGCCGATTCTTGAGAGACTTCAGGCTGGAATCCTGGTAAATCAGCAGTGGCGACGGCTTCTGTACGTGATTTCTTCGCCATGTCGGCAGTCATGAGATCGCCATCGGCTGATCTCTTTCGGGTGTTTGCCTCTGCCGCCGCCAAGATCGAATCCATAGAGAAGCGCATTTTCGTTGTTGTGGACATGGGAAATCTGTAATACCGTAATTATTGCATACTTACAAAATCAGAAGGACGGGCTATTCGAGAGCGGAGAAAAAGGAAAAAAGTATACGGCCGAGAAGAATCAGCATTATAAACAGGGATTGGTATACGATTCTAAGATAGTACAGGTTGTTCATTATCCTGCCATAAAGACTGAAAAGGGAAAAGTAAAGCGAACAGAGCCCCCTGTGTGGCCGACGGCTGTCAGAACTTTCTGCTGGACTAATATTCGTTGACTTTTTTCGCGTACAACTCGTCCACATCAAAACACCGACAGCTGGGTTGAAATTGAATCTTTGTCTAGCGTGGCGCTGTTTATTTTGGATTGTTCAGTTCGGCATCTCCGATTGCAGTCAGCTCACCTCCTACTCAATGCCAAGTAATAAGCCCCAAGTTCACAAAACATATTTCAAAGGGTTTGAGAGACCAGAGTGGCCTACGGTTGAGACCGGTTGTGATTCGAGGAATACTACTAGACTGGAAACAGTTGTGAAGTTTGACGCTTCTGGCGGCTGTTTTTGGGGGGGAAAACATTGAACTAATTGTTGTTTTATTGGTAGACAAGAAGTACGGCGAGGCTGGGGAAAAGGACTGATAGCAGAGCGAAGTATCGGCACAGCCAGGCATCGTTTATTTAGCATCGCAAACCGACGGCCAGCTACTGGGTGCTGGAGCTGATAAAATATGACAGCACACGTTGTAAAACGTCGTAAATGCGTCGAACAACTCAAAACTCGAGAAGAACCAAACTAGACAGTAAAGGACACCCGTCAATGATGTGGCTCTAACCAACCCACCAGCCTAATGTCGATTGGTTAGCATAGTAATAGTCACCACAGGGCTGCCAACAAAGCGACAAGCAGAAGCACGCTATCTGAAAGAATAAGGAGAACACATGTACGCCCCGAATTAGGGCGTTTGAAAATTCCCAGTGTTACCAAAAACTAATTTTGAAATGTTCACTTCACTCATGATGCTAGGTTCTGGAATCACGTGATTGATAGGCCAGGTGTCAGTAGGAGTTGAACTCCTTCCCAAACTACTCCTGCTGCAGAGTAGAAAAAAGAAGACGGAAAAAAGAAGGAAGTGATGCAAGGAGTATGAGCCTGACAGCTACAAAGGGCCATTGTTCAGAACGCTCAAAAAACAACGAAAGCTAAATCGATCAGGAGGGCTGTGAGGGATAGTTGCTGGCCGGATCTGGTCGAATTGACGAATCGCACTTCAGAAGGATCATGACAGCAATGAATCAAAAACAGACGGGAAAGGCGGACCCAAAACAAGCCAATCCCGAAGTTTTCTTAGGTTAGACTCTCCGAGAACCCAAAGCAAACTCAGGCTACCACACGCAGATACACAAACGCGGAGGCGTGGCCAAGGGCGCTTATTGGTTGGCCACGCCCCTCGGGTCGACAAATTGATTCGAAGACGACCGGCGCCCGTTGCAACTCAGTTATTCTTCCCTAGATTTTGCCCATTTGTTTAGTTGTATACCAGTATTCGATGTTACCAAGTTACATTTAGTACCCGGAGGGTTGAGTGACCCGAACTTCCCAAAATCCGTCTGATAAAGTGCTAAGATTTATGAACAATCTTGTAATCAATAAATGCATGGTTACTTCTCATAAATTAGCGCTGTAGAGCTAATGTTCACTTCCTGATAGCTACAGTACCAGCAAAATATCATTGTCGTAAGCTATGTCAACCAACAACCACACCAACAACCGCGCTTGTGCTACGGTAGCACAAGCGCGCATCGCTCGAAATCACCCATGATGTTGGCGTGTCAGTGAACAGTTGCTCACGGCTAAACATTTATATAAGAGAAGCAGGGAAAACAAGAGGTTTTCGCAAAGCAGAATGACGGGTGGATATGAGGCTATGAGTCGGGTAGCCGTCGGCAGGCGATACCAGCCGTAAAAAATTGCGACATTCAGAAATAGGCAGACGGCAGAACAAAGGAGCTGGTGATAATGAGCCTTTGCGTACCTGAGCGCACCCGGACCAGCTGGTTTTGAAAGAGGGTGTCTGGAGCCTAGAGCGAGAAGAAGGTAACCTGTTTTAATAAATCTCTCAGAACCCTTGCTTCTCATCTGATGGGGTGGCACCTTCTCAGACCAAGTGTTAAAAACATGAATAGGATCAGCGGAAAGTTTAACGTCACCGTGGATTTCCAAAGCAGCAGGAGGGCTGAAAGGAACAGGCATTTGGAACCCGTTCCATAGTTATTTGTAGTTGTACAAATGTTATTCGACAACGTTATCGAGCGCGATCTTGCCTTCTTCTGCCTAGTCGAATTAGGCGCGCCACGCATCGATGATCTGCTCCGGTCCCGATCTCTTCTCCGGCTCCCCTCCTCATGTCACTTTGCTACGCGATACAGGAATAACATGATACGAAAGTTTTCTGATGAAAATCTAGTCAAATGTCAAGGAAAATCAAACGAAGCCAAACATCCGCTGTAAAGCTGCCCAAAAAGTGAATGAAAACAAG